AAAGCTGACTCCAAATAGAGTCAGTGCCTTTATATTCAGAGCTGACCCTGACCAAAGATTGTGCCCCAGATGAATGGGCAATGTTTACCCTTAAGGCTGTGGGATGTGCAGCCTGCTTCTTAATGATCAGTCCCTTGAGCTCTTCATTCAAGATCAAGAGGCAACTCAACGAAACTGGCATTTCAAGGGCTGCTCATTTATGGGAGAGAAGAGAACATGAGGTTCCAGGCTAGATGGATCCTTAGGGCCAGATCCAAGTCAGCCTTGCAGGTGCCTCAATTTAGGCTTCAGCCTGCCTAAAAAGCAAGCATCTTGCCCAAGAAGATGATTGAAATCGACAGGGTAAAACATCAAGACTCCATGATCCATCAGTGGAAAGAGTCAGGCATCTCCAAACAGTGATCCATGGCACCACGGTGCTGAGCAAGTTGCTACCGAGAGCCAGACATTAGGAAACACTAAACACAGGACTGCTTCTGTTTTTCTGCCCCTCCTCAGAGCTGAGCTGCCTCAAAGCTACACTTTAGGCACTTCTGACCACTCAGGGTCCAAAACACTGAGGAGGGAGTTGCCTTAATAACTGGTGAGGGTTGAGACCCTATTTACCTAATAGCCCAGTGGTTACAGCACTTTTCCAGGAAGTGGGAGACCTAGAATCTAGGCCCTTCTCAGCCTAAGGAGATTCGAGCCATGTCTCGTACAGCCCAGGAGTTCCCCAACCAGGCTGTTACACAACTAAGTGGCACTGCTGACACATTTTGTTTTTCTAGTGATAGTGACCATTGCTGATGTACTTGACTCTGAAATCTATGGTGCTGGTGTTCATTAGGCAGGCTCTTAGCATACCTAGTAGACCAAGGGACTTAGGTAGTTTAGGTATCACTGAGTTGGCTCACAATCAAGCTTAGGAAGGTGTTAGGTGCCTACTGGCTCAGGCTGGGGCACTTTGGAGCATGCCCAGAAACCCAAGTTTAGGTACAAGGTTAGGGTTCTTTTCAGGCCAAATATAGGTACCTATGTTGTTTTGGAGTCACTAGGACACAGTGGATGTGGATCCCTTTTTGTGACTTAAGTGCCTAAATTCCTCTTAAGCCCCACCTTCCTACCTAGCTGCTGGCTTTAGCCTGACACCCAGGCCTTGTCTACAGTTTGGCTGAGAGAAGCACCTGTACAGTGGCAGAACCTGCTGCTGGCTGGCAGAGATGCTCCATCTCTGCCAAGCAAAGTAAGGCTGCTTCTGCCCAGAAGACAGCAGAAGATGTGTGCAGACACTCCCATGCCTTTTGCCAGCTCCCATGATTCCTTCAGTAGCTGACACCTCCCCAAAAGATCCCTCCTGCTCTGGTAGCACAGCTGCTTAGCGGAGCTGCAGGGATGCCAGAAGCACCTGGGTGTGCATGCCCTCTGACCCCTTGGTGGTGACCACTACACCTGTGTGAAGCAGCAGTTATTTGCTTCGGATTTGGCCAATTTGGAGGGACAGTGATTTGATTCAGTGATTCAAATCGCTGTCCCGATTCAGTCTGGCCAAATCAGATCCAAAGATTCGGCACCACTTCGGAGATTCAGCCATAGATTAAACAGGAGCAGACCTCATCATGCTGGACACAGCTGGCTGCCTCCAGCTGGTAAGTCTGTTGTGGTGGGTGGAGTGGGGAGGGAAAGGGTGTGTTGTAGGGCAGATCAACACCCCCACAGCGAGGGAGGGATTAGGGCTGGGACAAGCTGCCCAGCTGGGGAAAGGGGACATGGGCACAAACATCCTTAGGGGTGTGAAGGGCCCAGGTAGGCTGGGGTTGGTGAGCAGCTGGAGCCAGCAGAGCAGGGGGAGGAGAGTAGGCAGTGCGTGGCAGTGTGTGGCAACCGCAGCAGGGCCTGTATGGGACTGTTTGTGGGGCCCCCTAAAGTGCGAGGCCTGGGGCGGGTGCCTCAATTTGCCTTTCCAGGGATGGCCCTGGGCACGGGACTCAGGGAGGGGGGCTCCCGCTACCATGCACCACCAGTCTGGGAGGGCATGGAACCAGGCGTGTGCCCCCAGATCTGTGCAGGACGGGCTGGGCTGGGCTGCACTCTGGACAGGCATTGGAAGGCGCTGGGAGCAGGGGTTACGCCCTCCCACCACTCGCCACCCTCCCCCCTTGCTCCGGCCGCTTGCCACCCCTTCCCTTCCCCCCAGGCCCCACACACCCCTAGGGATGGCTCTGGCCATGCCTCCTCACTCCAGCTGGGCAGCTTGTCCCAGCCCCAGCCCCTACCTCACTTGGGGGGGGAATTGATCTGCCCCTCCCCACATCTCTTCCCTCCCCCCTCCGCCCACCACAACAGATTTACCAGCTGGAGGTAGCTGTGTCCAGTGTCCTTGAGGACTGCTGCCTATTTAGTCTATGGCTGAATCTCCGAATCAGGCCAAATCTTTTCCGAATAGATTTGGAGGCTTCCGATTCAATTTGGAGCTTTTAATTGGTTCCCCGATGCGATTCCGATCCAGAGATTCAGCCGCTGAATGGGGCCAAATCTCCTCTGAATCGAATCGGCTACTGAAGCTTCGCACAGCCCTAGTGGCCACTGCCTGCTCTTTGTAACAGGGTCCTAACCCCATTACTGAAGGGAAGAGGGAACCAAGGGTCAGCTGGCTGGCCCCAGCCTCCTGGAAGACTGATAATGGCAGAGAGTCCTTAAATAAAATGGCCACCCACTCCTGGTGTGGGCAGTGATTGACAGGCCTGGGGTGGAAGCAGAAGAATCACATAACCCAGAGAGGAAGCACTTAAGCCCAGGGCCTGAGCCAGAGTAGGGTAGTCTGGCTATGGAGGCTGCAGAAAGCAGAGCTCCAGCTAAGAGACAGGCTGGGCTGCCCATAAAGAAAGCACTCCAGGTACTGCAGAGGAGCTGGAAGAAATCCCTGCACCACTGAACAAGAGCAGATAAGTGTTTTAAGCTGGTGTTGTAGCACTGTCACAGTGTGAAATTAACCCCAGCTGGAAAGTCTTTTATTTGGGAGCAGATACTCATGGTTTTCATTCATATTTAAACTGGAGGCCACAGGGGTACTGCAGGGGCACCCAGCATAGACCTCTTCCCGGGTCTGGGACCAGGTGGGCTGCATAGGGGCAGAAGCTCAAAACACTTTATAAAGAGGGCTGCCGTTTGTTGCAGAACTGTGGTACCAGACAGCAAAGCCTGGGGTTGCAAGTTCAGAGCACATGAGGGATGAGACTGGGGCTGAGGGGCCCAGTGCCCATGAGAGGTAAGCTGGGGCCCAAAAGGCTCAGGTCCTGGTACCTCAGGCAGAAGAACCCAGCTAGGTGGCCTCAGACCAGACAAGGGCCTACCATCCAAAACCTGCTTTGCTGTCTTGGGGCAGCTTGCTTGTCTAACCATAACATCAAGGCATGGCAGGAGAGATAACAGGGTGGAACCCTGAGAGGCCAGAAGGAGCAACAAGGTGGGACGTCCAGGAACTGGCCAGGGAGACAATGTTGCCATTCCAGCACTGGGCATGTTACACTGCTGCAGAACTTGTGCTGACAGAAGTGGCTAAGCAGGGACAAGTTATGAGTTTCTCTCGTCCAACAGGACATGTAGAACTAAATGGCTTGGAGAGCAGAAGCTGGTGCAGCTGCAGCTATGTGAATTTTTGGCTTAACATTCTGCAACTGTTGCTGCCCATTGGCCTAGCAGTACATAGAAAACCCTTCTCTGTGTCACTCCCAGAAAACAGACGGCAGCATCCCTGACATGTCCAGAAGCTGGAGGATAAGAGGTCATCTCCCCCGATCAAGCCCTCAGCTCCAGGCAGTATTTTTAGGGACAGCATTGCCAAGGAATCCAGTTTGACTTTGAAGCTGCTTCTGACACCCAATGGCTTTTCTCCCTGAAAGGGACCTGAGGCAGCAGGCAATTCCACTGTAAGGAGATTAAAATCATTAGTCATGTGACTTTATTAAAACACCAGGGACAAAAAATTATATAACAGCGATATATATATCTATATCACTGTTAGCTGCAGATGGCCTCAGCTAAGCGGCAGGCCCTGGGGGCTTGAAAGGATAAATGTAGGATCAGAAAAGTAAATTAGAAAAGAGAGAGTGGTTCCTGCTGGCTCTGAAGAGAAAGGGAGTTATTACCTGGGAGTAGTTTGAGCTAGAGATGAATGCCTAGCTAACGAGATGGGAACAGGGAGGAGGCATCTATGAATACTGATGTGAAGAGGTACTTGCTGGGCAGGAGTTATCCCTGGACCATGCTCTAGGCTAGCAGTTTCTAATCTGTGGTATGGGTACCACCAGTGGTACACAGACAACCTGTCAGTGGTACATTTTAACAGATTTATTATAATAACTTTAAATGACAAAAATTTGCTGGTGGTACTTAAGGTTGTCTCATTTTACATTGGTGGCGCACAGTCTATCAGAGTTTGGGAACCGCTGGTCTAGGCCACATTAATCATAGCATCAGATGACCAGAAAGGCTAGAGCAAGGGACAAGGGCCAGACTGAAAAACAGCCAGGTACCGTGTCTCTGAGCTTCAGCATGGAAATTCTGGCAATGACGGAAATCTAGGACAGAGCATGGCCAGAGTGTAAGGAGCACATCCAATACCTTGCATGTCCCATTGCCTCTTTCACCGAGCTGGGACAGCTCCAGAGGCCTTGTGCTTACCTACTTCAGGGCACAGAGGGCCTCGGAGTGCTCTGTGCTCACCATTTAAACAAGCCATCTGAAGTTCAACTTTGGCATCCACCATCAAGGTCAAATGGACAAGCCCTTCTGGAAATACCTGTCCTTCTCACCTTATGTGCGAGAGAGGAAGCAAGAGGAAGGGAAACAACAGAAAAGAACTGTGGGGAATGAAGAAGGCTGAAGTTAGGATGCACATGGAGAGGGGCCAGATCACCAAGATTTACCTGTGCCAGAGCAGTGATAGGTCCTTACACTGAGGGGCCAGACCATGCCTCACCCGCCTGTTGCCCATGTGCACCCACTCACCTCCTCCAAACCCCACGGTACATTGGTGAAGCTACTGTGGGCTCATCCCTCTGCTCCTGTTCTTGAGCCTGCTGTCTCTGCTCAAGGAGCCTGCAGAGCATTGAGTAAAGCCACAAAAAAAAAAAAAAGAGTCTTGCATTGACCAAGACAGTCCTCGCTCCCCCTTAGGGTCCCAAAGACCTTAAAACAAAGGGATTTTTGTCCTCACTGTTTGCTTACCAGCTCACCACAGGGGCTGGCAGCACCTTGCTGAGATGGACTGCATCCATTCTGGGCATTGTACATCCTGAATCAAAAGCAATGTAGCTGCTTTAGTGTGGCACTGCATACAGCGAGACCAGTGCCACACTGGATTAGTCATATCTAGGTTCAGGCTGCTACAATTTCAGTAGCTTCCAAACTCTTTGGTATCCCTCATGCCAACCCCATTACTCATAGAAAGAACTAGAACCCAATGCCTCCCACCACAAAAGAATGCAGCCCTGTCCCTGCCACTTCCTCTTCTCCTTCCAGTCATTAATATGTGAATTGCTAGTAAAGGGGGACAGCACAATGGCACTGCCCTCAGAAAATAAGCCAGCTCCCAAACACTACAATTAGTATGGGTTGAGCAGAACCAGAGGGTCCCTTGGGATTTCCTGCATGTCAGGAAGTATATGATGCAAACTCTGTTCACTGCAGTATGGCAACAAATTCAAATAACTGAGGAGCGAGAGAGAGCAAGCAAGAGGACATTTCCCAATGCATGTCATTAGGAAAGTAGACTAAGTAGCTTCCATCAGCACATGGTAGGAGTCAGTCATACACTGAGAAAGCCCAAATAATATTGCTGTCTCATCTGACTCTTCAAAGTTATCAGTGGGAAAGGCTTGCCCAGTCCCAATCCATCCTCTAAGGACGGATCCTTCAGCTACAGCCCATTATAGTCCAGTGTGGTTTAAGTTTACCAATGGAACCTCCAGCCTTTAAACTGAGAGACTGTCCCTCCCTCCAATGTGTTTAGTTGCCAGGTTCTCTCCATATTCATCCTAAATGTAGCAAGGTAGGGTCCCTAGGGGTGGCCATGTTACCCCTAGGCTCCTTAACTATGCCAGTATTGCCCTACAGGCACCCTCTATCTCGCTCACCAGGTCTTGTTGGTATAACTACTATAGGGAGGCTGCCCTTGATCTTTGTGTTTGGGCTCAGTCTGGCTAGTTCTTACTGAATCCTGTAGTTCATAGACCGCTTGGCATCCCACTTTATGGTGGATGGTTCCTGAGTCTCTCAGCCTTATGGGCTATATGTGTGGCTCCAACTGCCCCTTTACCCCACCCCAAGCTTCGCAGATGGCACCAACGTGGTCTTGTCTAGGCCTTACTGTGATTTGGCCCCCTTGTCCTCCCTGGGCTGTCTGCAGCCCTGCCTCTGCACCTCAATGGCACCTGGGCCTGTGCACCCTCTCTGGCACCAGGGCCTGTACACCCCAAATACTGCACCTCTCTGGCACTGGGGTCCCTACTCTGTAATGGACACCCTATGAGGCCTCCTCCTTCCCCAAACAGCCTCATCCAAACCACCAGTGTTATAAAACAGCAAACAAACCATAAGCCCCTGGGCTATAACCTAATAGCCAAGATCAAGGTGTGCCCTGCCCCTTTAAAAGAAACAGACTTCACCCCTGGCATTAAGTGTCTAGTAGACAAGGGTACCTGTGGTGCTCACAGAGCCCCCTTTGCCCTAGGTGCAGCACCTCAGGTAGTTTCAGCATCACAGGGCACTTCTTCCCTGGAGGCTCCTTCCCCTCTGACTACTAGCAGGGAATTCCTCTCACTAGTCCCAGCCCTAGGGTTTATCTGGGCCCAGGGCCCTGCCTCTTCCGACCAGCTGACCAGGTGCAGGTGCGACCAATTCCCTCCTTAGCCAGGTGTCATGGCAACCTGCACCTGGGTTCTTATCTGGCTCTTTGTGCTTTCTCCCCGGGCAATCTCTGCTCTAAAAAGAGCAGGCACCTTAGTGCCCTGCGACAATAAATATTAGTTTTCTGAATCTCATGAATACTCAGAGGCCTTCTTCCCAGGGTGAATTTCTGCCTGATTCTAAACTTTTTGCCCCATGCATTCTGACCTGGATATCTTCAAACATAGGTTGCAATTTTTTTTTGTATTTTATATGGGAACATCTCTTGCAATTTTAAGTCAACTTTTGCACTATTTGAATTTTTTAAAACATCAGTTCCTAGACTCTTGGGATGAAATAAGAATCTTGACTTTCCTTTTGAAAGAAAAAACTTGATAATGGGACCTGCATGTGATTCAAGGGCTCAGAAATCAGAAGATAAAATAAAAAATGGACTCTTAACCCCCTCCCCCGCCAAACCTCCCCCTCTTGGTCTGAGGGGACCCAACTCATGATTTATCATGTAAAATGGGTGATACCACACATTCCCCCTCTGTCTCTCCCATTGTCAAACACGCAAATTCTTATTGTTCATAGTTCCCAGAAACTTTCAGCAGAAAGCCCTGAAAATGTGAATGTGTCAGAAAGGCTCTTTGGGTAGATGGGGTATCTTTTATTAGACCAACTGAGTAGTTGGAAAGAAGTTCTTAGCAAGCTTTTGCGTGCAGTCACCCTTCTTCAGGCACAGGGAGTCTCTTCTGGTCTGAGACTCCAAGGAATGAGAGAAGCTAAAGTAGTGTAGGATGTAAATAGGTAGAGATAAGCAAAGCAAACAGTAAAGCAGGGGAGAGGAGGGGAGGGGGAAGAGAGCAGAGGGAAATAGAAAAAAAGGGTCAGAGGGAGACAACAGTGATAAAATACAAGGTGGAAAAGAGGCTGTCTGTGAAAAAGGGAATTGCTGGAGATCAGGAAAGCAGGAATGGGTAGATGGGGTATCTTTTATTAGACCAACTGAGTAGTTGGAAAGAAGTTCTTAGCAAGCTTTTGCGTGCAGTCACCCTTCTTCAGGCACAGGGAGTCTCTTCTGGTCTGAGACTCCAAGGAATGAGAGAAGCTAAAGTAGTGTAGGATGTAAATAGGTAGAGATAAGCAAAGCAAACAGTAAAGCAGGGGAGAGGAGGGGAGGGGGAAGAGAGCAGAGGGAAATAGAAAAAAAGGGTCAGAGGGAGACAACAGTGATAAAATACAAGGTGGAAAAGAGGCTGTCTGTGAAAAAGGGAATTGCTGGAGATCAGGAAAGCAGGAAAGAACGCTTCCCTGATCTCCAACAATTTTCTAGTGAAAATATACAAGGGTAGAAATTGGAAAAACAAAAGGTAAAGCAGGGAAGGGAGGGTGAAAAAAAACAGAGGACAAAAAAAGGCCAAAAAGGAAAACAGTACAGTGGTAATAATAAGGTAAAAAAGAGGCTATAAATAAAAAGGAAATGGTAGGGAATCAGAAAGAAAAAGGGGAGAGAAGAGGGGAAGGGGAGAAAAGTTAGGGGGGAAAAAAGAAAGATATGAGAAGCCAGGTCAGGTACGTACCAGCTGAATTAGATGTCAGGTAGGTTGTAATGTGTCATAAATCCAATGTCTATATTGAGTCCATGATTTTTAGTGTCCAGCAGGTTGATGAAGTGAAGTTCATAGGCTCATCAACAAAAGGTGTAAGTTCCCTTTGAGGATTAGAACTGAGAGAAGGAGTGATTGTCCTGTGAGAAATGTGGCCTCGCAGGTAGCTGGGTATTCTTGGCTTTGATAGATTTTTGGTGTGCGTTCATTCTGGTGCACAGTTGTTGTTTGGTTTCTCTGTTGTTTGTAGGAGAAAAGCTTGACAAGAACCTGTTTCCAACTACTGAGTTGGTCTAATAAAAAAATCACATCTACTCGAAGAAACTTGCCTGCAAACATTCTCTGTACGCTGTGCCTTCACCACTGAGGCAAGACTTTCCCAAGTTTCATTCACTTTCAGACATGGGCAACTGGTGCCAGCGGCCAATCAGCAACGGGGGGGAGGGTGCCCCGCGGCCAATCGTGCTGACAGGAGAGGGGAGTCCCCCCATGGCCAGTTGTGCCCGCCGGGAAGTGTGAGCAGCACTCCCGGCAGTGCCAGCGGTGCTTCACCTAGCGTCCCCATTCCCCTGTCTGTCACCTAAGCAGGGAACGCTGCCTGTCAGGGGGTACACCAGCACTCTCAGGGGGTGCAGATGCACCCCCATGAGCCTCCTACGCATCGCCACTGCTTTCAGATTTACCAGTTTTTGGTTTAGTCCATCCATTCTGCTCCCTTCTCCCAGCATCCTCCTGGGATATCCAAAGGAAAACGCTCCTAGTTTATCATATGCTAGCCAGCAGCTGAGCTGCTGAGCTGAGAAGTAGCGACTGATGATATGAGAGAACAAAAACAGCATTGGAACAAAGTAGTTCCTGAGCCTGGACAGAGAGCATCTGCAGGGAGGTGCAGAAACTGAGGGGAAGAATGAACCACATGGGTATGAAGCAGACAATATGTTTGAGAGCTGAGAACGTGGCCAGGAAGCTGTTTTTAAATGGAATGGCTGCCACTTAGCCAAACAAATGCAACCATACTAGAGGAGAAGAAGCAGCTATTCACCTCACTATCTGCCCTTACTGATAGGCACATACCCTAAAACATAAGACATCCTAGAGGTATAGAAGGGAGTACAGAAAAAAACCAAGGTCAGAGCTGTTTCACTTTGTAACCATATATTGACGGTGCAAATGACCTTCTTTCCTACTCAGCTGTCCTACTGCTTTCCACCAGCAAAGTAGGAGAGAAGAACAGATTAATTCATTCTCATCATTCTTTGAATACAACTTTATGCTGTTCGATTTATTTTGGGCATGTTGGGTGCACGGAAAAGGAAATCATGCCAAATGAGCTAAGCACAAATGGGTGTTTTGGTTCATAGACTCATAGACATTAGGGCTGGAAGGAACCTTGGAAGATCATTGAGTCCAGCCCACTGCCTGAGGGGCAGGTAGTCAGCAGGGGTCATAGGATCCCAGCAAAATAAACATCCAAATTTCTCTTGAAGGCGTTCAAAGTAGGTGCTGGAATCACCTCCAGCGGCAGTCTATTCCAGACTTTGGGGGCTCAGACAGTAAAGAAGTTCTTCCTTATGTCCAGCCTGAAACGGTCATGGAGGAGTTTGTGACCGTTCGACCGTGTCATCCCTTGGGGCGCTCTGGTGAGCAGACGTTCACCCAGATCCTGGTGAGCACCCCTTATAAACTTATAGGCAACCACCAGATCACCCCTGAGCCTGCACTTTTTCAGGCTAAAGAGTCCCATGGCTCTCAGCCTGTCATCATAAGGTCTGTTTTCCTGACCTCTGATCATGCATGTCGCTCTCCTCTGCACTCTCTCAAGCCTCTCCACATCCTTTTTGAATTGTAGAGCCCAAAACTCGATGCAGTACTCTAGCTGCGGCCTCACCAAAGCCGAGTACAATGGGAGTACAACGTCCCGGGATTTGCTTGAGAAGCATCTATGGATTCAAGCCAGCATTTTGCTCACTTTACTAGCTGCAGCATCACACTGATGGCTCATGCTCATCAATGTTCATTATCAGTTTTGAAAACTTATATGATTTTTTGGTTTACACTGAATGTTTCAGCAAATCAAAAAAGTGTAAAATAATGTTTTGAGTGCAATTAAATGTTTGGTTCAGCTTGTAATGAAACATTTCATTGTGATGGCAAGGAGGTTTCCATAGTTTCTTTTATGTTTTTTTAATAATTTGGAGAACATTTCAAAACTAAAGATCATTTTTGAATTAGGAAACTGAAATGTTTTGTTCAGAAAAATATTGAAGTGAAACATTTCTCCTTTTTGGGAATTACCCTTTTCATTTATTTTCTGGTGCAAATAATTTGGTGAAACTTGTACAAATAGGCAAAGTGTTAGACCTTTGTGAAATCTGTATTTCTGCTGAAAAACGTTCCAGCAAACAAGTTTAACCTGGGTGATGACACCAGTGCACCAACAGTTGGTGCCATCTGTCTGCTTGTTTTACACAGTAGGCATAAAACTTTAGGCACTACCTGTGGCAGAATACCATCTCTGTCTCTCTCCAAACTCTGCTATCTGACATTTTCGTTACTGTGGTCACTGCAAAGGGCAGACTCCTCTGCCCCATTTGTCTCAGGTAACCCTGAGTTGTAACCTGAGCTGGATACATTCCTGAGGGAGGGAGGAAACCTGCTCCCTCTGCCTACATGACTGGCCACACATACCTGGGTCGGGGGCTTAAACTCCCTATTGTTCTAAGCAATGCCAACATAACTGGGATGGGGCTAAAGACCCAGCCAGTCTACCCGGCAACTAGTGATGCATTTCAAATTGGTTGGCTGGCAGCCGACAGTTGCTGGCCTTCATTGGACCACATAAATGAGGTCATAGGCTGCGTCCACACATACAAACGTGTGCTTGCAGCAGCTCAAATAGAAGTGGTGCAAATTTGAGCTGGGGTTTTTGCCTCCGCGCACGTGCTTGGACATGCACTTTGTTGTGGAGCAAACTGTGCCACTTGGGGTAAAATAACCGTGCCTGGCTCCTCCCGGACCTGCAACCAGGGGGAGCTAGAGCCTGGGACAAGCACCTATGCTATCCCCAGAAGTATAAAAAACTGCCCTGTCCTGGCCCCATCCATACAAAAAACTGCCCTGGCAAGCAGATCAGAGCTACTCGCTCTCAGGAGCTTCTGGGGGAAGAGCCTTTGGGAGGAAGTTGGCCATGCCCCTTCCTGTCCCAGGCTGCTGCTGTTGTGACTGACTGCTGCAAGCTTGGTCTCAGGAGCTTCTGGGGAGAAGATGGCCAGGCCCTTTCCTGCCTCTGGCTACCATTAGCT